GCGGTGCTTTTGCAGGGCCAGATCAAGTGATTTCCTTTGGGGCCTAATATGGCCTGAGGCCAGATGTTTCCTACCTAAACGAAGATGCTCCTGAGAATTGAGATTGGCATATAAAAATCATTTTAATTCTTATCAGTCCATATCCCCTGAGAACCAACTATTTCTCACTCACGGTACCAACTACTGGGATGTTTAAAGTTGAGTAAGTTATGTCTCCCTGCCCTGGCACTCACAGGCCAATCTCTTGAGAAATGATTGAAAGAAATTAAGTATGTTCAAGGCTGACTTAAAAAGAAAGTCTCAGTGGTTGAGTGTTGATGTATGAACCAGGAGGTCAGGGCTCGGTTCCCGGTCAAGGCACAGGCCCGGGTTGTGGGCTCCATCTCCAGTGTGGCGAGTGCAGGAGGCAGGTGATCAACGATTCTCTCTCATCATTGATATTTCTATCTCTCTATCCCTCTCCCTTCCTCTCTGAAATATATTTAAAGAAAAGAAAGACTATCAGCAATGAGAGAGAATCATTGAACGGCTACCTTCTGCATGCCCCACATTAAGGACTGAGCCTGCAACCTGGGGATGTACCCTGACTGGGAATTGAACCATGAGCTCCAGGTTCATAGGTAGATGCTGAACCACGGTGCCACGCCAGCCGGGCCTCGCAGGGATTATTGTAATATCCTGCTAATGCTTTCCTTTTGACCCTCTCCAGCCCACCATCCACATTGCAGCCAGGGTGATCCTTATAAACTATCAATTCGGTTAATTACTCCCCGGTTTAAAATGACAAGAATTCCTTTGGTAGGGGGGACCAGAGTTTAAAAGGTGGATTGCCTCTAGAAAGTGGAGGGCCTTAAATTCCAAACTGAAGATTTTAGACTTTATCTTGCAGAAAATACAACAATTTTTTTTAAAGGAGGAGTAATGACAAGTAGAAATCAGACTTGAAAAAAGTTTTTGTAATTTGAGTGCCTGCCATGGATGCCTGGAGGGTTCAGAAAATAATACCCATTCAGAAGTCTACTTTTGTTTTGTTACAGATTATTGCATGTGACTGTCAGCTTTTACTAACAAGGAAAACACGTGCTTATTACTTAGTACAGAGATTATAATCTTCAGAAGATTACAGCCCAGTACACTTGCTAAACAAACATAATTACTATGACTGAATGGAAATATTAGCAATGTGTAATTAATGTAGAGATGGGTTCATACTTAACTAATGGCTCAGATTTCCAGTTCAAGTGGAACTAAGTTCCAGGACTTTGCTTCCCCCCCCCCCCCCCCCCGAAAAGAAATAAGAGTAATTAAGTACATATGTGAAGTTCACAGAATTCGGCAATGATCTTTGAAAGTACTAGGGTCACAGAAAATGGAGTAGGTAGGGATCTTATCCTTCAATGAATAAACCTGGGATGATAGGCATTCTGAAGAGAAATTTGGGAGACAAATTGAGAGAAGTTCAGGTCTGATTGGCTAGAAAAGAAAGATCTTTGAAACTGGAACGAGGCTCCGAAGCTTCAGTAGTTAACTTTCCCCGTTTTCGGTAGAGCTGGGCTGAGGGATTATTTTGAATTGCTTTGAGAGCTTCAATTGGGCAAGCTGAATGTTAGAATTAAAATAATTATTTTTCAGTCCTGGGAATAACCTTGGTGATAGCTATTCTAGACTCACAGTTGGACATATGAAACAATGGAGCTTAAATGGCTTGCACAAGGACACACATAGTCAAGTGAAGGAATAGGCCAGAATGTCTACTTCACCACTGTATGCATATTGCCTAGAATGTCTGACACAGAGTAGGAACTCAATAAATATTTATTAAATGAATAAAGAATCCCCAGGCTTCTTATTACTTGTAGTATTATTCCCACTGCATCATAGAGAAACTATGACAGATGTAATAATAAAAATAAATAAATAAAAAGGAAAAGAAAAAGAGGGTCTTTGGGCAACCGGGACAGGCCTGCACCATGTCAGAGGATAAAAGTGATTACAATACAGATAGATTTTTCTAGCAAAAGAACGTCCCCTTACATGATGTATTGGTTTGCTAGGGCTATCATAAAAGCCAAAGAATGGGTTGCTTAGCTAGTAGAAACTTATTTTCTCACAATTATAGAGGCTATAAATCTAAGATCAAGGGGTTGGTAAGGTTGTTTTTTTTTTATTCTGAAGGTTATGAGGGAAGAATGTGTTACAGGCTTCTGTCCCTTGGCCTGTAGATGGCCATCTTCTTCCTGTGTCTTCTCATCATCTTCCCTCTATCATGTGTGTCCAAATTTCCATTCATTTTGGACTAGGGACCACCTAATGATCTCAGTTCAAGAAAATATTTATCTAAATACTGCACCTCATATTTTCTAAAGTACTGGGGGTAAAAACTTCAACATATAAACTTTTAGGGGCGGGGGGGACATAATTCAGCCCAGAACACAAAGAGACCAGCTTTGCTATCACAGAGCATTTTATTTATTTTTTATTAAAAATTTTTTTAAAAAAATATATATTTTATTGATTTTGTACAGAAAGGGAGAGAGAGAGAGTTAGAAACATCAATGAGAGAGAGTCATCGATCAGCTGCCTCTTGCACACCCCCTACTGGGGATAGGCCCGCAACCAAGGTACATGCCCTTGATCGGAATCGAACCCGGGACCCTCAGTCCCCAAGCCGACGCTCTATCCATTGAGCCAAACCGGTCTCGGCTCAACCCCATTCTTTAGCAGCAGTCAAGGTAATGTTAATCGAGCTCCTAGTTTATATTTAAGCAGTCAATTGCCCAACAGCCTCAAGCTTCTGCCCATGTGTGTATATTAACTATGTGAAGCTGGAGGGATAGCCTGCCAGATTGCTAAAAGAAGAGCCATAGGGCATGGGCTGGCTGGCCCATTTTTTTTTTAAATGAGGTTATTATAACTGACGAAACAATACTTTCTTCTTTGAAAATGGCTCTTTCCTCATCTTGTAAAATTCTGTAAGACATCGGTAGGGCGTTGATTGTTTTACCAGAGTTATTATTGTTGAACTGTAGCGTAGATGATAAGTGCATATTTCAGGAGTTTCCTGGGGCTCTGAAATAAATGCCTGTTGAATGGATCTTGGAGAAAACCAGTGAGGCTCTTCCATGGTTTCTAGGAAGATCCTTGATCTTAGAGGGAAAATAGTTTTGTAGTTAGAAATCATTTGAAATAGGTGATATTCCATGGTAGTGTGTCAGGGGATTTCCAGGTTCTGTCTTTGGTGGGCATCTGCTATTTGTTTTCAAGTGAGGGAGAGGCTGGTGCTCCTTACAGAAAATGCCATCTTACACCATCAGAATGATACTCAACAGCAGAGCTTTCTTGTCTCCACATCCGACAAACATGATGAGTATCTATAATATAGGACGTCTTCTCCTCCATGACCCTCACAATTAGAAATACTATTCTGGATCAGGGCCTTCTTTGAACTTATTCCTGGTATCAAGGCTTGAATACTAAATATAGACTCCAGCAGATGGCACAGGAACATTAGATAATAATCTGATATTTTTGGCACTATTAAACACATTCTGACTGTCACTTAAAGAGATGGGGCTGCTTAAACCATACAATTTCTATAATGCTGAGCTAAACTTTCAGGCCATTTCCTACTATCAGCTCATTAGACATCAAAGACAAAGAAGCTGCTGTATTCTTGAATGGAAATATTAACAAACATTGGGAGCACCATTATTTGCCATGGACAGTGAAAACAAAACAAAACAAAACAAAACAATTGGTTTGGCTCAGTGGATAGAGCACCGGCCTATGGACTGAAAGGTCCCAGGTTCAATTCCGATCAAGGGCATATACCTTGGTTGCAGGCACATCCCCATTGTGGGGTGTGCAGGAGGCAGATGATCAATGTTTCTCTCTCATCTCTGTTTCTAACTATCTCTCTCTCTTCCTCTCTGTAAAAAGCCAATAAAATATATTTAAAAAAGCAAACAAAAAAACAACCAAGCACAGAAAGCTGTGAGGTCATGAATAAAAACACTTGGGCAGAGAATCCTAGCTTTGGGGGCTGGGGAAGGGGGAGCGGAGGGGGCACCCTAACAGGGAAAATTGGTTGGGGAAAACAAAGATTGTGTGTTTTCTTTTCTTTCTTTTTAAAAATTTAGACATAATCATAACCAAATACCCTTAAGTGAATGGCAATTTTTTTCAGTTCCTAGGCCACTAGATACTGAGCTATGATTTGATGCATAATTAAAACAGACAAAAATAATTGTTTGCTAAACATTTATTATTAATTGTTAATACAGTCCAATTATTTCAACAAGAATGTCTCCAAGGCAGTATTAGTAGGCTTCAAAGGATTGTGGGCTGATGCGTCTTCTTTAGGACCTGTAGGAACTTGCCCCTCTGTTTACAAATTTTTCCCTTCCCTTCCCCCATAATGCTCTCTGTGATCTCTTATGGCCCTAGAGCAAGATAGATGTCTACAGGATCCTAAGCAGGTTTCCTCTCAGGTAAAATTAATAAAGGTAGTAATATTCTGAAATTTACCAAAGATTGGGGAAGAGAACTGAGCACTGTAGACTGCAGCAAACACAGTTTTAAAATTTGAGTTCTGGAGTTGTTGAGAAACACCTTACTTTTGCTTTATGAGATTTAAGTGTTTATGGAGTCAGGTGTAAAAAAAAAAAATCCAGTTCAAACTCTAAGTTTTAAAGCTAAATGTTATTCTTAATAGAGATTTCTTCCAATTATGGACTTCAAACTTTCACAGGGAGTTTTCCTGTGGAAGTCAGTTTCTGTAGAGGTCAGTTTCCCTACAGTCAAAATCCAGCCCCCTTTCACAATCTATGCCAATTATGCCAAAAAGATGAGAGGTTCTGTGGAGGTAAATATAAATGTAATTTAGGCCCAAGAAGAAATACCAACATGGACACTAAAAATACCTTCATTCTCCACCAGATAGGTCAACCATTTAAAAAAACAGACCTGATTCTTTTGACTCTCCCATCTGATTATTCTTGTTACTTCTGAAAGCAGCAAATGAACATGTTCCCCAAACAAAACTCCTTAAACACATTAAATGACTTATTTTTTTTTTTAATGCACACCACATCTGCACCAAAGAGCAAAGACAGCCTGCAGTAAAGAACTACTTGAGGAAGACTAAAAGAAGTACAAAGTCCAGGACATGAGTCTAGTTTAAGACTTTGGAAAAAAAAAGACAGTTTCCCCACAACCAAAAACATTTGAGTCATCTGGGACGCAGTGGTCCCCATTTTTCCTTTGCTGAAGCTTTGGCAAGTGTCGGGAGGCGGCGGCATTTCTTAAGGACGGTATTGGGACCTCTGCTCTTGGATGTACTCATAGAGGGGGCTGGAGCGCACCGGGGCACTGGCAAACGGACGCTTGCCGGACTCCAGAAGCTGCTGCCGGCCCTGATCCTTTCCCTCCCAGCCGCGGCCGCGCCTCTGCGCCTCCTCCAGCTGGCGGAGCTGCTCTTCCTCCCGGATCTTCCTCTCCCGTTCCTGCCGGCGCCTCAGCTCCTGCTCTTCCCGCAGCTGCTGCTCCTCTTGGCGGCGCAGCAGCTGTTCTTCCCGTTCCTGGAGGAGCTGTGGATCTTCACGGAACTTTCTGTCGCGGTCCCGGCGAAGTTGCTCCTGCACTTGCCGGCGGCGCAGCTGCTGTTCCTCCTCGCGGAGGAGCTTCCTGTCGCGCTCCTGGCGCAGCTCTTGCTCGAGCTCCTGGCGGCGCCGCTGCTGTTCCTCCCGTTCCTGGAGGAGCTGTTCCTCCGCTCGGAGCTTTCTGTCGCGCTCCTGGCGGCGCAGCTGCTGTTCCTCCCTGCGAAGCTCTTGCTCGAGCTCCTGGCGGCGCCGCTGCTGTTCCTCCCGTTCCTGGAGGAGCTGTTCCTCCGCTCGGAGCTTTCTGTCGCGCTCTTGGCGGCGCAGCTGTTGCTCTTTCCGTTCCAGAAGCTGTTTCTCCTCGCGGAGCTTCCTTTCGCGCTCCTGGCGCAGCTCTTGCTCGAGCTCCTGGCGGCGCAGCTGCTGTTCCTCCCGTTCCCGGATGAGCTGTTTTTCCTCCCGGAGCTTTCTGTCGCGCTCTTGGCGCAGCTGCTGTTCCTCCCGTTCCCGGATGAGCTGTTCCTCCGCTCGGAGCTTTCTGTCGCGCTCCTGGCGGCGCAGCTGCTGTTCCTCCTCACGGAGCTTTCTGTCTTCTTCCTGAAGGCGTCTTTTCTCCTCTCTTTCCTCCCTCAGGAGCTGCTCTTTCTCCCGCTGCAGCTGCTCCTCCTCCTGGTACCGTCTCTCCTGTTCCAGGCGCCTCTTCTCCCGTTGCAACTGTTCCTCCTCGCGCTGCAGCTGCTCTTTCTCTCTCAGCAGCTGCTCCTCCTCCTGGTACCGTCTCTCCTGTTCCTGGCGCCTCTTCTCCCGTTGCAACTGTTCCTCCTCGCGCTGCAGCTGCTCTTCCTCCCTCAGCAGCTGCTCCTCCTCGCGCTGCAGCTGCTGGCGCAGAGCAGGTTTGGAGTACAGTGTGTGGCGGCGCCTCTGGCTTTCCTCCTCTAGTTGCCACCTCCATTTTTGGTCGCGGAGCAGCTCCTCCTGGCGCCGCTCTTCCTCCAGGAGCTGCTCCTCCTGCTCTAGGAATTGCCGCTCCCGCCTCCGCTCGAATCCCCGTTGGCTCAGGCGCTGCTCCTCCTCCTGCAGTTCCCGCAGCCGCTGCTCGCGCTCCTGCAGCCGCCTCTCCGCCTCCTCCTCCTGCTCCTGGCGGCGCCTCAGCGGCCCCTGCCTGCGCGGCCGCGAGTACACCTTGCTCTGCCGGGCTTCGGCCTCGCTTTCCAGCTGCCGCTGCCACCGCAGGGCGCGGCTCTCGCCCAGCTCGCCGGCCTCTTCTTGCAGCTCCTCCTCCTCCTCAGCCAGCTCCTGCTCCCGCCTCCGCTGCTGCTCTCGCCGCTCCTCCTGCTCGCGCCTCAGCTGCTCCAAGAGCGGCTCCTGCTCCCGCCTCAGCTTCTGTTCCAAGCGTGGTTCCTGCTCCCGCTCTCGCCTCAGGAGTTGCTCCCGCCTCTCTTCCTGCTCCCGCCTCAACTTCTCCAAGCGCGGTTCCTGCTCGCGCCTCAGCTCCTGCTCCCGCTCCCGCCTCAGCAGTTGCTCGCGCCTCAGCTGCTGCTCCCTCCTCTCTTCCTGCTCCCGCCTCAGCTTCCTTTCCAAGCGTGGTTCCTGCTCTCTCCTCAGCTCCTGCTCCCGCCTCAGCTCCTGCTCGAGCCTCTCTTCCTGCTCTCGCCTCAGCTGCTCCAAGAGCGGCTCCTGCTCCTGCTCCTGCTCCTGCTCCTGCTCCCGCGTCAGCTGCTGCTCGCGCCTCTCTTCTTGCTCCCGCCTCAGCTTCTCCAAGCGCGGCTCCCTCTCTCTCCTCAGCTCCTGTTCCCGCTCCTGCCTGAGCAGTTGCTCTCGCCTCTCTTCCTGCTCCCGCCTCAGCTTCCTTTCCAAGCGTGGTTCCTGCTCCCGCCTGAGCTCCTGCTCGCGCCTCTCTTCTTGCTCCCGCCTAAGCTTCTCCAGGCGCGGTTCCTGCTCCCGCCTCAGCTCCTGCTCCCGCTCTTGCCTCAGCAGTTGCTCTCGTCTCTCTTCCTGCTCCCGCCTGAGCTCCTGCTCTCGCCTCTCTTCCTGCTCGCGCCTCAGTTTCTCCAGGCGCGGTTCCTGCTCGCGCCTCTCTTCCTGCTCTCGCCTCAGCTGCTCCAAGAGCGGTTCCTGCTCCTGCTCCCGCCTGAGCTCCTGCTCCCGCCTCAGCTTCCGTTCCAGGCGCGGTTCCTGCTCCCGCCTCAGCTGCTGCTCGCGCCTCTCTTCCTGCTCCCGCCTCAGCTCCTGCTCCAAGGGCTCCTGGCGCCCGCGCCTAAGCCTCTGCAGCTGCTCTTCCACCTCCTTTTCCTCCTCCAGGCGCTTCCTTCTCAGCTCCTGCCGTTCCCGCCGGGGTAGCTGCTCCTCTTCCTGGAGCTCGCGCAGTTTCTCCTCAAGGCGCTGGCGCTCTCGCTGCTCCTGCCTTTCTCGCCTTTGCTCTTCTCGGTCGGGAAACTCCTCCTGCGCCAGCCTCTTGCGCTCCTGCAGCTCCTCTTCCTCCTCGAGCTGCGCCTCCTGCTCCCGCCTCTGCAGCCGCTGCTCGCGCCTCTCTAGCTTCCCCCTGGGCTCCTCTTCCTCAGCCAGCTCCCTCTCTTGTTCCTGCCTCTTCAGCCTGCGTTCCTCTTCCTCCTCCCTGTCCCGGGGATCAAACCGCCTCTGGTCTTCTTGCCTGCGGTCTAGTAACGGGGCCCCCTTCCCCTCACCCGGGGCTTCCTCCTCCAGCCCGGAGGCCTCGGCCAGCGCGTAGTAACAAGCCTGAGCCACTTTGAAAATGAACAGGAGGTACTCGTTGAAATCGACCAGCCCGTTACAGTCGCGGTCCAGAAGTTCCAGGATCAAGTCTACCGTTTCAGGATCATGCGGTCGCTAAAAAAAAAAAAGAAAAAAAGAAAAAAAGATGAAGACAATTTTTTAATGTACCATTTACAGTTAGTAAACTTCCTCACACAATATACATTTTACGATATGCAGACACCCAAAAGGCATAAGAGCGAAGAGAAAAATCCCAGTGTGTATGGTGGAGTTTTGTTGCCCTCATGTAAAATGTGAATACCTCGTTTCATAGCATACACTTGTTGGAAGTGTTTGCATCTTGTAATTTAATGCCGATTAAAAGAATGCAAGTTTTCTTTAGCTGGGTGGATAAGAACAAACTCATCCTCAACAGAGAAATACAATGACTCTTTATGAAGATGTGCAACAGCCATTTCTGTCTGAAATAGCCGGTTCCTTCGACTTGACTTCTATTCTTTGTTTGAAAAGAGAACAAGACATTTACGGTAACACCATTTTATTGGTGAACAATATGAATTTATTGAAATTTGCAACTAATTTTAAATTCCTTTCAAGTCTAGTTTAATCTGACATCTTTGGTGATAACCTTCCATGACCACCAGTTCACTCACATTGTCATTGCCATCAAGTACATGACATAATTGCTAGTAACTTCTTTTGTACTCAGACTATAAAGACAGATATCTTCAGGCTCAAAAATGAATGGGAATGGAGTAGAGAGCTATCATGGTGTAAAATGAATATAAAGTCACCATTCCTTGCTCTGGTTGCTCCTGAGAAGGAATTTCATAACCCAAATGAACAGAGAAATGTCCTTTTCTTCGTATGTCTTACCCGAAGAATAGCTCCAAATTCCCTTTCAAGGAGGTCCTTCAGGTCTTTCTTGCACAGTGCTGCTCCATCACAATCATGTGAGGCATATTGATTGAAAACTTCAGTGATATCGAAGATGCTTCTCAGAAGTGGAGACATTTTTTCTTCCTTAAGTTCAAGTAAACCTAAAACAATAAAATAGGATCCAGAATTAAACTCTGTTTCTGATCTTTGGGAGGTTTTATCCCCACTGATTTGGGCAGATCCTTAAGTAATTTGACTTTACAGTAGTAGTTATTTTCAACCTGGATTTTCAAAGCATTTTATTTTTCAATATTGTACAGCCCTTAGAAAAGAGAAGAGAGATCCCGAGAAACATCAAGCCTGGGAATTATCTGCAGACTGTCCTGTAGTCAGCTTTCAGATTGTTCACACAAGCTGAATGAATTATCCATCTCTTCCTCCTCCCTAATAAATTTCAGATCAGCCAGTGTAGAGTATAACGTAGAAACTCATAGTCTCTGCCTCTAAAAGGGTAGGTAAAAGCCAAAAGGTGAAGGAAAATCTGAAAGTATCTTAAAGCGACTAGAAGCCACACACACCCAGGCGTGGAGCAAAACATTTAGTGGCAACTAGAACATTAAAAAGGGAATATGGATTATTTCCCAACATTATAGCCCATAAGAGATCTAGGGATATAATTCATAAGTCAGCAGTTCTAAGGTTAAGCACTACTTCTCCTTAGTCAAAGGTGGCAGGGTAATATTCAGATAAACCAATGCAGAAAACAAAGAGTACATTTTATCTGCTTTAACTAAGATATATCACAGATATTCAATTATTGAAAGCTTCTGAGAGGTACTTTCTGATTGGCTACCAGGGTCAATGAGTCAAATTGAACCTGGACAAATTTGAATAACATTGGTTTTATTGTTAGCTTTTGTTAAACCCAAATAAACCATTTGAATCTCGGCATTATAAAAAACGGAACTTAGCCAGAGCAGATATCCATGTTAAAAAGAATACATGGGAAGTTTCACTGACTGGGTGAGTATAGTGGTTCATCTAGCTGGCTTCTTTAAATACTACTCAACTTGAAATACTGCAGATACCGTAATTATATGAAGATGGCCCATATTGGGTAGAACCAATAAAAAAAGAGAACCAAGTGTTGGTAAACTTTGGAGACAGCAGTTTTTAGAAAGATGAACCCCATCAGAGTCACACATAACTATCTTCCAACCCCTGACATGTGAACATTCTTATAGAGTTCGGAGCCTTGAGAGTAGACCACGTCTCTATTTGAATAATAGCTCCAACCATAAGAAGATGGCCTGGAATTAGACATCTCTGTAAGATACTGATGTCTTCTGACACTATAGACACCCCCCATTCCTTTCCCTCTGACCCAACATCTACAACAACTGGAAAATGAAGAATCATACAGAAGAACATGATCCCATTGAATGGGACTTACCCACTTCACCAGAGAGAGAAGTCGAGTGCTCGCTGACACCACTGGCAAGTGTACTGGGCAGCTGGTAGCTGGGTCTTTTATAGGGGTTCTAATTGTGCCCTGCAGACCTACTTGGGAAGGAGACACCCACTCTGTGGGATGGCCTGATTCATTCCTAACCAAGCCCAGCTCCACCTCTGTCTCCATAAATGGTTTGTTTATCTCACTATTTGCTCAAGTACCTATTTGGCATGAGGTTCACAGACCTTGCCTCCTGACAGGGTACTGGCCCCACCTAACATAAAAGGATAGAATATTTGACAAAATCTCTAATTTTTTAAATGGTTAAAGTGAAATAAAACAATAAAACAAACATCAATGTTCAGAACCTTAATTAATTATGATTTTATTTCAAAGTAGTGACTTCTAAGCCATTTACTATATATATATATATAAAAAAAATCTAACGTATAGGCTGGGATCAAACAGAAATCTTGACATGAACTAGCGAGAACTGGTTAATTTCTCTCTGAGATGTGACAGTTCATGGGGAGCTGCGGATAGCCCTGTCTGAAACAATTCTTGGACAATGAAAGGGTATAAGGAATTGATTTTAGTTTCTTCTCTAAAATGCAAATGAGAAAAAATTGCACTTGTACTCTCGGGTCTCATAATGATTTTCCTATAGGTGGGGGGATTGTCTTCTTAGTAAACAATTTTGGGTGTTCATTTAAAAATATTTCATTCAATTACTTATAAGAGAATTTGAAATCTGTCAAATTTCTTTCTTAGGGATGTGACATCTAAATGAAGTTTTCTCTTTTCTCATTAACATATTGATGCTCCTGGAGAAAAAGAGCTGGTGTAATCTGGTTTTTTTTTTTTTTTTTTTTTTTTAAAGATATAATCATCCTGCTCAGCTCAAGTCACTAATGATTACAACACCGAAACACTTGACTCTGCTTCTCTTGGAAGTGCATTAAGGTAATCAGTCACTCTAGCCCATTATATCTGCCGGAACTTTCTCAACCTTGGAGATCATTTGCAAACCCCAGTGCTGTTTTATCGTAAGGAACTGGATTTTATCCTTGGTTGTCAGTGACTCCCACCCCTACATCTCAGACTATATGAAACTTGGCTTCAAAATACATTTATGGGGACTATTAAACGATCCAGTGGCTTTTGGCATTTTGGTCTCCTTCTTTGTCTAACAGAGGCAAGTACATTTTGAGGGTCCTTCATTGAAATGTAATTTGGAGCCTAAATCTTGATGGTCCAAGTGATGATGGAATTGAATTCTATTTGGCTCCGTTTTGCTGCCCTCCCAGAGGTGGGGGGAGAGGAAAGTGGAAACAATAAAGTGATGGGAAGGCAACTGTTAGCCTGGTTCACTTCTGGGATCTAGGGTTTTTCCTAGAACTGTCACTTTTCTTGGGATCAGTTAGCAAACTTGATGTAGCAGCTCCTTAATGAAGAGTAAAGATCCCCCCCACAATTCTCCTCCCCTCTATTTAGGGGTTTATTCAATTATTTTAATTTTTGAATTCTAGGATAGAGCTATCATAAGCACTACAACCACAAATCACCATGAAACCTCTATCTCTCACAGAGGATATGTATCTTAAAAAAAAAAAAAATCCTCAGAGAAACATCGGTGTGAGAGAGATCCATCAAGTGGTTGTCTCCCACCTGTGCCCTGGGGCTAGAAATCAAACCTGCCACCCTTTGGTGCATGGGCCATCACAGTAACCATTGAACACCACCAGCCAGGGTGCATATGAGCCTTTTTTTATGAATGCCCTTCAAGGAATTCTCTGGGCAAACTCTGCCTATGTCTGGTTCTCTTTTTATCCACCTGTGTGTAGTCTTTGAGGAACCTTAGCTCAGGTGGTGGGATGCATTTGTGGGATTCCATTACCTTACTATAGTCAAAGCAGACCAAAGAGGACCGGACATTCACTAGCTTCTATGAGAACAAAGGGAAAATATTAATCATTCCAAAATCATGTTTGAGCAAGCAAATCAAATAGAGAAGCAAACCCAAAAGGAAAATGCTTCCAAACAGCCTTAAGGAAATGGCCGAAATTGCATTCACTGTAACAAACTATTCCCTACTCTGAATGAAGCGAGATCTTAAATCCAGTGATGGCTCTCATATCCACTCTCATTTAAAGTTAGGATATCACAAGGAAAAATATTAAAAAACCTGAACCAATCTAAGAGAATTATCCTATCTTCCTTGCTGCTCTTGGTCCATCATCAGAAAGATTGTGAGTAGGTTCAAATGCTAAAATCAGGTTTGATATTCTTCGAATGAAGTGGCCCTGTTGCTACATAATGTCCTTTTATTTAACACAGTATCATTATTTAAAAATATCATTTTAAGTGATATTTAAAATGTTATGCCTTGGGCCGGGACCGGTTTGGCTCAATGGATAGAGCGTCGGCTTGGGGACTGAAGGGCCCCGGGTTCGATTCTGGTCAAGGGCATGTACCTTGGTTGCGGGCATATTCCCAGTGGGAGATGTGCAAGAGGCAGCTGATCGATGACTCTCTCTCATCGATGTTTCTAGCTCTGTATCTCTCTCCCTTCCTCTCTGTACAAAATCAATAAAATATATTTAAAAAAAAATGTTATGCCTTGGGACACCACCTCTACCCATCCAAAACCAGAGAACCAGACATAGGCAGGGTTCTATGTAGAAAACATAGAATGTAGAAAAGAATCAAGTACTGACATTGGTTCAGTCCATTTTTTGGAAAGACCAACTGAGAATCCTGGAATGAGACAGTGTCCACTCATTGTGGCTCATCAAAAAAGAATGGTGTTTGTATAATCTGAGCATCTTAATCTCCTTTATAGACAAAACGCATCATTATCTTTTTTTTTTTATAAGACTGGAGACTGAGGCACCAAAAGGTCAGAGAACGTTCCTGACTGGCCCAGGAATGACCTATGCACTCCTTCCTGCTCCATTCTGTAAGAATATCCTTCTTGACCAAGGATTAATGCCAATGGGTTCAGAGCATAGCTACAGGATTGTACTGATACTTGACTTTGAGATGTGAGCTCTTTATTACAGTAGAATTGAAAAAAGGGAAAATAAAATTTATATCATTCATTCCTGAAGCCTCATCTGAGCTTGAAATCTTTGGGAGTGGAGCTCTGCTGTGTTAACAAATAAAACTAACAAAGAATCAGGTTTTCCTGGTCTTCAACTCATTCACAGGCTCTTTTTCCATTTTCTCCGGTCAGAATCCAGAAAAACTAGATAATGGATTTGACATTCTGAGATATTTGACCAGGATCAAACCCTGTCTTGACCTTAGATAAATCAGAGAAGGTGCTAGGGTCATTTTCAGCTAATGTGCTTTTCCAGAGCCCACTATGGGCCATGACATGGAACTCTGGGAAAATGTCCAAGTGGGATAACTTTTTTTTTTTTTTTAATATATTTTTATTGATTTTACACAGAGAGGAATTGAGAGGGAACAGAGAGTTAGAAACGTCGATGAGAGAGAAACATCGACCAGCTGCCTCTTGCACACCCCCCACTGGGGATGTGCCCGCAACCAAGGTACATGCCCTTGACTGGAATCGAACCCGGGACCTTTCAGTCCGCAGGCCGACGCTCTATCCACTGAGCCAAACCGGTCCCGGCTAAGTGGGATAACTTTAAGATGGCTTTATATAAAGTAAGAT